GAAGGAAGGAAGGAAGGAAGGAAGGAAGGAAGGAAGGAAGGAAGGAAGGAAGGACCAGGTGGAAGTCGACAGATGTTATTTGGAAAGTGAGACTAACAAGACTAGGGGAGGGGATAAAAGAAGGGGGAGACAATATGGCCAAAATATTGTTAATGAAAGAAATGTCATAATAAAACTGTCTAATGTATTGCAATAAAAGACATTGAATATCACAAAATATTCTAAGTGTTTAAGTTATACCCAGCTAATAAACCAGTTATAAAATCTGTCTAACTAGGCTCAGTACTGAACTATACATTCCCAAATACTAAACTAAGGTTAAAAACGATCCAAGCTCTGCTTGGAAACCATCTCTATGGTTAAATCCGTCTTCAGCCTTACCTCGGGAAACATGGTAAGCAGGAAGGAGAAATGAGGCCTCTGCACCACTTGGGTCTTTACAAATTTTGCTGCTGCTTGAAAAGTCCTCTGCCCGTTGCCTTCCCAGTTACCTTATGAATTCAGGAAATCCTAACTTCCCAAAAGTCAAGCATCCAGTTTCTAACTGCTGATACTTTGAAATTCCATAAATCTATCAAACTCAAATAAACAAAGTGTCAACCCAAACATAACCAGATTGGTTTATGATACCAATTTTATGTTAAAATTTAGGCTGCTGGGAGGTTGTGGTTTTTAAACTTTATTTCTTTTGACTATTGATAGTTTATTATATAAACATTCATTTAAAATTAGGGATATGCCAAGTGATTTTTTTGTGACTTAAAACTGGCTTCCAACATCAGAATTTCTTTGGATGTTCCATAATTTCTTCAAAACTTCATAAAAGCAGTTAAGATATAATTTAGGTTGGGCGGTGGTGGCACACGCCTTTAATCCCAGCACTCAGGAGGCAGAGGCAGGCGGGTCTTTGTGAGTTCAAGGCCAGCCTGGTCTATAGAGCGAAATCCGGGAAAGGCCCAAAAGCTACACAGAGAAACCCTGTCTCAAAAAACCAAAAACATAATTTAGTCAGAAATTAGGAAACTAAGCTAAAATTGACAACTGAGTTGCTTAAAGTGAGATCTGTATTATTTTCAAATAAAATTAGTTTTTGGATGAATTTAGTATACTTATGGAAATTATATTCATTCTAAATCATCTTAAATTCAAACAAGATACATTTTGATAAGCCATTTTAAATCATTACCATAAGATTTCCCTCATTAGTTACAACTGATACAAGAAATGTGGGAATGAGGAGTCAAAGAACTTACAAAAAATAAGTCCCAAGAATTTTGGGGCAGTGTATTAATGGTTCACTACCTTGGTTGTGGTGACTATATACAGTTTTGGCAATGTATACCTCAACAAAATACTTGTTTAAATACTTGCTGTGCAAAAAATGGAATGAGTTTCGAGTATTCAAACTGTGCCCCTCAACAACCACAAGCTAATTCTGTTCAATAATTGCACACTAGACCTGCAACTGAACCAAACCAATCTGCATTTGTAGACTCTCCTTTCAATATGATCCAAACTTTTATTAGGAGCCCATTCTTTAGATAGCCAAGTTAAAACTGTGCTAGCTTTAAACATGTGTGTCTATTTCCTTAATAACCAAATGTGTTTATGCCATCACTTGATGGCTAGAACTACATTGCTTTAACTCACCATATTTATAAAATAGTAATTCTATTAAAGTATAACATTAGCTAAATGCTATCTAGATTCCAATCAAGGCAAAAAAAAAAAACCTGCCTGAATATAGATACCCCAAAACAATTTTTCATTATCCTAGTATGCAAATAATAGCACAATCCAAAGACACTCAATTTTATACTGCCAGCTGTCGTTTGATCCCTTAGGTATTTTTGTGGCTGACACAAGTTAACTTTTCCCATTTAGATTGAATTGTGGCAATTTTCCAAATTAAAAAAAAAAGCCACTTTTAAACCTCTATTTAATGCTTTGTTAATACTTAGCCTCAAAAACTTTATGGAGGTAAAAATGTTGGGTTTTCTGGTTTAATTTATCCATTACCCCAGGTCTCAGTGGGAACCAAAACAAGAAAAAATAAATAAAACAAGATTCTGTGAAAGCTGGAGACGGATACAAAAATATATAAAACATTGTAGCCTTCTAAGAAAGCAAAAAGACCAGTCTGGCGTAACACTTCTGGTCTAAGACTACTCTCTTTACAATAAGAATATACTGGGGCTAGAGAGATGGTATAGTGGTTAAACTAAAGAGTGCATACTCCTCTTGCATAGGACCCAAGTTCAATAACTGGACCCACACCAATATCAGGCAGCTTACAACTGCCTGTGACTTCAGCTCCAGAGGATCTGACACCCTTCTGTCCTCCTCATATGCAGACATACACACATACACATAAAAAAATAAATAAAAATATTTTTAAAAATAGAATATACCAATATGAATGGGGTTGGGATAGAGCAACAAAAGCAACTGAGGGAAAAACAAAGCTTAAAAATTGATTACAAATATACAGAACCAAAATAGTCTAATACACCATCAAAACAGAAATGATTCCAAATTTTCCTTGCAAATGAAAATAGTCAAGATTCATTCAATAGCTTTGTGAATTGGTAAAAATTTAAGCTTTTTCTAACCTCAAAGAAATTACATTTTTTTAATGAAGAAAAGTATAAAGTTAAGACATTAATACAGCATGTTGCACTTGGAGACCGGTACCTTGAACACTACAGAGAACAACAATATTCTGAAAATCCAGTTTATTTTCCATGTTGTGGACAGATCCAGTCAGTGTGATCAGGTTTTCTGCATGTGTAATAATTTATCAAAATAAGTTTTCCCACAAGTCTTCCAATCAGCTATGAAAATCCTGATCTGACAATACACCAAATAAAGAAAGCTCTTGACAAGCACCTCCTAAAGCTCGAAGAACGCCTGGAAGAACACCTGGCACGTCTCCTCTCTCCCATCCACTGCGCTACAAAGGGCTAAAGAGCAATTTGTTTTGAAAGGTGACTTAGTACAAGACTTCAGTTCGAGAAGTTAATGTTTTAGTGCACTTTGCTCCAGTTTTAGCCAACATGCTATGTTTTCCTTTTTGCTGTTTTGTTTTGTTTTAGGGGGAAGTGGGGCAAGAAGGTGCACAAAGTAGAGTTGAAGGTCTCCACTGTTGGAAGAAGGTATGACTCTGCAAGCAAAACTGTAAGCTGCCTTTGACCTTAAGACCTGAACATTTTAAGACAGAAGCTTTGCAAAACATTACACAATTTTTTATTATTAAATGAGAAAATCTCATTTGTTACATCGTCACATTGCTAGTCAGAGAAATGCTGCAGTGATGAAGAGAGTCAATGTTGGATCAACCAAAGTCCTCATTTCTACAACATTCATTTACAAAGAAATAATGTTCAACACAGCCCAACACAACATTCTTGGTTTTCTTCATATTGAAGTCCCCCAAAAAAATCATCTTCTAATGGGGTAGTTCACTACATAAATTATAGTTCTTCATTTTTACAATTCACCCCAAACGGCATGAGAGATGGATCACACTAAAATGTCTAAAGCTGTTAGGAAATCCTTCACACATCGTCGTCATCTGACGTGTCACTGCTACTTGTCTCTGTGTCGTCATTCTCAAGTGTGGGTTTGAAAGTGCTGTTTTTCCAGGGTCCAAACTTGAAGTCACAGATCAGGCCATTTTTCAAAATACCATTTTTCCTCAGCCCATTCTTCTGTAACTAAAATGTCAAAAACAAGCAAGTTAATTTTGCCCCAAGAGTTAATACTACAAGCATAACCATGAAGTTTATTCATAATCATGAAATAATTAAATTAAATTTTCATTGAAAATTCCAGATATAATTATATCATGCCCCCTAAATAAGCTATTTCAATAGTCATGGGTAATTGACCATATTCTAACATGATGTTTTCTAATAGAATCAACCTAAACCTATTCTTAGTTGGGCACAGTGGCCTATCTGTTAATCCCAACACCTGAGAGGCAGGAAGATCTTAAAGTCAAGGTGAACCCTAAGCTACACAGGAGTTCTAAGCCAGTATGGCTACAGAGCAAGACCTTGTTATAATAAGAAAAGAAATGGAAAAATAAAATCTACTGTTTGGGAACAAACATTTAGCACCACCCCCAAACCACTATGGGGGGTGGGGGGGAAGGGGGGAGTAGAAAGATCTTTTAAGTACCAAGAGCAGAAGTGACTCAAAACTGTCACACTAAGGTATCATGCTGTGGATGAGTTACAATTTCCTCAGTTATGATAAAAGATAAGTTAGATATAAAACCTTAGACTCACAAATATAAGACAGACAGGATATCTTCTTTAATATTGTAACTGTAATTCTTGCTTGATAATTTTGTTATATGTAATTTTACTATGTTAAAGTTAAAACCTTCCTTTTTGAATAAAAAAAGAAAAAGGGGAAGTGCTGTGGATGATTGATTGATTAATAAAACAGATTAGCCAGTAGCCAGGCAGGAAGTATAGGCAGGACTAGCAAAGAGGAGAATTCTAGAACAGGAAGGCTGGGGTAGAGGAGAAAGTGCCAGCTGCCACCATGAGAAGATGTTAAGGTACCGGTAAGTCACTAGCCACGTGGCAACTTATAGATTAATAGAAATGGGTTAATTTAAGATATAAGAACTAGATAACAAGAAGCCTGCTGCGGCCATACAGTTTATAAGCAATGTTTACTCTGTGTGTTGACTCGATTGGGTCTGAGCAGCTAAGGAACTGGTGGGTGAGAGAGATCTGTCCTGACAGTGGGCCAGGCAGGACTCTAGCTCCAGTATCAAACCTTCCCAAACTTCTGTTGTTTTACATAAACACTGCAATAAGTATACTTGCAGGTGCGACTAAGGCATATAATCCGTAACCATTAAACCAATCTCTTTATTATCAGGACCTAAATTAAAAAGGCCAGCCAGGCAGTGGTGGCGCAC